AGAAAGAAGTTCAGGTGGTTTGCATTGCCACTGGAGGCTGTAGGGGCAGAGTGCAACAGATGTAAAAAGGGACTAGACAAATCAATGGGTGATAGATGCATTAACAGCTATTAAGTGCAACAGTCAGGGATGTTTCCTCCGTCAGCTTGAAGCCAACGATGGTGGAGATCAGGGAGGTACGGCAGCACTCGGATCATTTTAGATATAACCTACTCGCATGCTCTCCTTCTAAAGCATCTATGTCCACCGTCGGAAACAGGCTGCTAATAGATGGACCACGGGGCTGATCCAGCACGGCGCTGCTTACGTTATGTTCTTCTGCAGCCAACTGGCTAATACAGATGGAGCCACATTGGCCCTTGTTACTAGAGATGATCCACTGGGGATGGGGGAGAGAGGTTTCATGTAGGATGGCTGGATTTTAAATATCAGCCAGCAGGAAACTTGGATTTAAATGACGGATCCTGTTCTGCATCTGTGCTTCAAACACTAAGCCGCAGAGACGTCCGCTTCCACAGCTGGGATCACCGGTGAAATCTCCCTGCAAACACGTACAACCTAGACAGCAAGTGTGGTGCCTTTCTGCCAGCCAGGAACACAAGCATGCATTCAAGCAAGGACGATGCTTAAAATACATTTATTCCAAATCTTAATTTTCACATGTTTGTAAGTTAGGAAACGGCAAACGATGCATTTATTAACGCCAAGATCACTCCTCGCTGGGGATTTGTGTCAGGCTGCGTTCAGACAGGAAGTGGAATTTAATTGAAAAGGTACGGAAACAGCTTTTTCCAATTTGCGCTTGATCAGATAGAGTGTCTTAAATGTGCTGGGTGAAGGGTAGGTTATCAAAATGCACGCGGCACGTAAACCCGATACACTGAACCCAAGCAGTTTTTTGACTGCAATCAGCCAATTGATGGGGCTGCTTCTGGTCCCAGGCGACGCAGCATGTAACGAGGTCTCGTTTAAAAGAAGCTGGAGGGCTCCCCAAAAATGCCCCAGCACTTCCAAAAAGCCCAGCAGGAAACTGCATGCACCTTGAGGCATATCAACACCAAGGAAACTGGAGCCAGGCCTTCGAGTCTCTAGAACCGTGATTCTCAACCGGGTGCCGTGACACCCTGGGGTGCCGTGAGAGCCTTCCAAGGGTGCTGCAGGGCGCTCTCTTGTACGCGTGATTCAAGGTCAGCGCTGCTGTATGTGTGACCCACGAGATCGACCCAGAGATTTCCAATAGAAATCCAGTGTTAAAAACCTGCCTTGCTGGGGTTTGTACCAGCATCGCTCTGGTATTTCTGTAGTCGAAAATGTAGTGAAAACAAGAGCTGACATTTTCCCAGGGGGGGTCTCGAGCCCGTCGAATCTAAAAAGGGCGAGAGCTGCTGTTCAGTGAGCGGATGGCACTTCCCACCTAGGCTGATTCATTGAATGGGAGCTGGAAATCATGAAAACCTCTCCCCCTTCTCCCCATCTTTTCCAATGACCTTTTCCAACTTGGGCCGAACAAGTCCGCGTGAAGACAACGTCCTGCCCACAATCAGCAAGGAACGCCAAGTACTTATGGTCGGAAAGACCCTCGCCACCTGCCATCGCTCTCCTGCAAGCCTGGGACGTCACGGGCTCGATGCAGCACGTGACATAACGTTGCATAGACGTCCTAGAGCCGTGGGGCTGGCAGGGACCTGAACAGGTCACATCCAGTCCAGCCCCTGCCTCGGGCAGGATCAGCCCCATGCAAACCAGCCCAGATCAGCATAGTAGCACACGGGCATTGCTACACCTAGATCAGTCCCACCAGTGCCCGTCCCCCCTCTCCTTGACACCTCCAGGGATGGAGAGTCCCCCCTTCCCTGGCATCTCCCCCATGGCCTCCCTGCTCCGACAGCCGAGAAGTTTTCCCCGAGATGCAACCTAAACCGACTTTGCTGCAATTCCAGCTATTGGTCCTTCAATGCCTTGAGCAGCGAGATATGCAGGGGCTGGAAGGGGTCGCCTCCATTTAAACCTGATCTACTGCAGTCAAAGGCAGTGCTCGGACATCGGGGCTGGGCTGCACGGGGAATTTTACTGCAGCGTCGCAACCTGAGGTCCTGCAGAGACCACAAGCCCAGCCCGCCGGACACAGAGAAAGTCTCTCGGGATTTATTGCTGACCCGACAGGAACGAGGGTTGCGCGTGGATTGAGCAGGTGGCAGTTTAACATGAACACCAGGGGCTTTTCCCCCCCCAGTGTGGCATTAAAGGGGGGGCTTGTGGCCCCAGAGGTGGTGGGAGCCGAGAGGTCAGCCAGGGCTTGGACACGTGTGGAGGAAAGGGGCATCAGTGGCGCTGGGGCAGGGAGCGAGGGGCACGGCCTCTGCATCCCCCTGCCTGGACCTCAATGCTGGAGGCTGCAGGGAGAGGAGCAGGGGAAAACCCTACTCAGCTCCGGTCGCTCTCCCCCCAGCTCCGCAGGACACAGGGGACCGGGCAGGACGGACCTCCAGACCCAGCACCTCTGCTGCTCTCAACGCGTGTCTCGTCCCAGCTATGCACTCACCCAGGATCGAGCTGCCCCCGGACGGCATGTCCGACGCACGCACTCTGCCCCGCTTGCCTTCTCGAGCGGCGCTGGCTTGCAAAGGCGACGAGGCGGCTGCCGGGACCCGAATGCCGGCTCTGCCTCGTTGCTGTAGAAACGCTGCGGCGGGCGAGCAAGGCAGCTCCGCTCTCCAGCCGCTCGGACCCACCTTCCTAGGCCGTGCAGAGCAAATACCCTGCCGTTTTTAATTGTCACGGCACCGTTCCCTGCATCCGGGGTGCAAATGCACGGAGGCGTCTCCCTGGAAACGCACGCTTTTGTTACAGCCGCAGAACAGAGCATCAG